GGTTAGCAGGACAGTAATGGGCCTGTAGTTGTTTGCATTGCAGCGATCACCTTTCTTGAATAACGCTGTCATTTTTTCAAATTTCCAAAGAGAAGAAGGTGCCAGTTTCAAGAGAATGCTTGAATAGACTCATTAATCTAGTTAGACTGCTACTGATCACCATTTTTTTTTACTGAGAAGGAGTTCTTGTATTATAGTTTAGACAATCTGGATTTTCAACGTCGATTGCTTTAAAAGATCCAGAGATATTAACGAGATGATGGAATTGCATCATTATTGTAATTTTGCTGGCAAATAATGAACCACTTAACGGTCATGCACAAAATGAGATTCAATTTGTGTCCACGTTCTCTTAACGAGCCAAATTAAATGATGATTAAAAAAAAAAAAAAAACTAGTGATAAATCTGAACCTTTGCGCCATAAAAGATAAAGCAGATGTCACCATTTAAAGGCTTACTTGTAGTAGCTGGGCTTTATGAGAGTAAATCTATAAAAACTAGATTTAACATGCAAGAGGATTCACATACCGGGGAGCAAGTAGGCATGATGGGATGAAAGTTCACTTGTTTATTCTTGAAAAAAGACGACAATTGCACTTTCAAAACGCAGGATGTATACTGTTTTAGGTTAATGGAAACAACTGGAATGACAAATAAATAGTGAAAGGGTACGCGGAGAAATAAACATAGGACCCTCAAAACAGGAAACGAAAATCATTCGGAGTTATCAGGGCTTCCAGTTATCGAACGTGTGCTTCAGTTTGCAGAAAAGTTATTATTATATAGGTAGCGAATTTTTTTTTTTAAAAATTGTTATTCCTTCTTCTAGAATTAATCTAGTCAACCTTTATAAAATACAGATGGCTAAAGTTACGTCGAGGCTTGTCTTAAATTTTATTTTATAATTTGTTTTTCTTTTTTTCAATAAAGGGTCTGGATAGAATTTAGCTGATAACCGAAACGTGTTAAAGTTTTAGCTGTCAGCCGAGACATAACGCGGTTTGCAGTCTGCAAAGATTATACTTGTTGCTGCATTGAAGTGGACTGAAATTTTAACTGATAACTGCGGAAACTCCAGAAAATCCTTACTGATAACAGAGATTCCAGCATTGTTACCCAGACTTTCCAAAGAGTGTATTTTGGTAAGATTGCGAAATTTCACCCGAGACAGGTGCTTCATGTCAGAAAGGGTTAAGCCGTGCACCATAAAAGAAAGAAAATATAAAATAATGGTTTTCTAACGATATTGATTTTCTTCCATTCATCCCTCATAATTCTAAAATCACGTTCAGGGCATTAGCGCAATACTTGACCTTAGCGACAAAACGTTTGCGACAAAAAATGAAATAAAACATAATAACGTATTAAAACTGAGTTGCTCTTATTTTGTTTCTTTTTTGCCCGACTTCGACGAGAAATATGATCTGTGAACTGCTCTGAGGCCGGGCAAACGAACCGGTAATTGAAATAACGATTAACATCTAAACTGATCATATGTGCTGATTCTTTGACCGCTTTGCATCCCAAATAAAATTGATTACTTAAGTTGTGCCTTAAATAGTATAATAGCAGTCGCGCTAAATTTCAAAAACGTAACAATGGAAATAGCAATGTGGAAAAATACAAGTTCTAAATTTTGAAAAAAATCTCCTCGTTTGAATTTAGCAGCTCAAATCAGGGAAATATGTTTAGAACATTTGGATATCAAATCAGTAAACCCACTCGTCAACCCAAATAGACAATTTTTTGGAAGCCGCCAAACGAAATAATTTTTAAGCAACCCTAATTAATCGTTAACAATTATTATAATGAAACAATACGTAAAACAACATCTAACGGACCGACCTCCGGGTAATGTCTTCCGGTCAATAAATGTACAGCACGGTAAGCAGGAGATAAGTGAAAATGATTTAGCTTAAAATTTGATCAGACTGCAACTGCATTGTTAACAAAAAAGAGGCTTTTAGTTCTAAATTTATTCATTTACAAAGAAAAACGTTCTGTAAAGTGGTAACTATGGTAACGCCAATTAGGACATTTAATTTAGAAAAGAGCGATCAACTATGAATAGCTTGCGTTTGCATTTAACATAAACCGACATATTGGAGAGAAAGGATCAAGATCGTCTCTTACTATTGTATTGACCAGGGTCTTTTCTTCTTACGTGTCTATGGACCGAGACTCATTCTTTTGTATTTATGAGAATTTCAAAGTCGATGATTAGTTGATGCAGTTTGCTTTGACTTTTAGGCCCAGCTAAATGCTAACTTTATTTATTTCATTTCAATACTGTGTCAACATTTTCATCAAAATGGATAATTTTCCACTCCAAACACAATTCCGTGATATTCTGTGATAAAACGTGAAAACAGCTGTGAGTCTGTAACAATTGGCCCGCACAAAATGGTTCTTTGCGACTAAAATCAGTTGAAGATAACTTTCGGAACCAATGAGAAAACGTAAGAATTTTCTCTATTCAATAGGTTTGCTGTATATTTTGACGATTAAAGGCATAAATCTTTAGTTACTTTCATCTCCAAACTTGGTAGCACGTAGCTTCTCGCTGTATGTACAACTCCGTGTGAACATTCACTGTTTATGTAAGTTAATTCAAAGGAAAAATGAGGAATGATTCTTTGCCTTCACCATCCACGAATTCTTCTAATCCAGAGAACGAAGAATGTCCTTACTTAAATGGCTTAGTTTGGAAACAGGAATACCTGACCGATGTCACATATCCATATCTTGTTGCTGTGACTGTTACAAATTTATTGGCTGTCCTTCCGACCACCCTGTTAAACGCGCTGGTTATCGTAGCCGTTGCAACAAGGCGCCGACTGCAATCAAAATCAAACGTGCTTGTGGCGGGGCTGGCGGCTGCAGACTTACTGACTGGGCTGGTTGTTCAAGACATAGTAATCACGGTAGAACTGACGCGTATCTTTAGCGACGGACCATTCTGTAGCCTGGAAAAGGCAAGCGCTGTCGCGCTGATGGGAGTTTTCTTTCTTTCTTTAGGAAGCCTTGCGTTAATAAGCATTGATCGCTATATTTCTATCAAGCATTCCTTGAGGTACACGACCATTGTCACCAAACAGTGGATTAAAACTGGTCTTCTTTTGGCCTGGGCCACTGGACTGCTTGTAACTATTCATGAACTTACCTTGGCTGTTATTGACAGTGGAACAGATCGTTACTTCCTCTACTCGAAGGTGATCACCTCCATACTGTCAATGCTCGCCTTGGTTGCCATTGGTGTTATCAGCTACACCTATTGCTATATTTTCTCAGAATCGCGACGTCAGAAAAAACGACTGCAAACTGAACAGCTGAACGAAGAGGAAGTTAAAAGATTGAAGAAAGAAAGGAAAGCGGCCAACACTTTAACACTTCTTCTGGCCACGTTAGTAATAACTTATATTCCGACCATAGTTGTAGTTTTGATTATATCGTATTCGGACGACATTTTAGAGCCGCATATTGTAAGTGTTATAATGACTTGGGTCGTGACATTTGGCCTTCTAGGATCTCTTTGTAACCCTATCATTTTCTTTTGGCGAGTCAAAAAACTGCGCCATGCTATTCTTGAGATTTTACATTACAGACAGCCCGAAAACAGTCCGCCACCAATAGAAATGAAAGAAATAAAACACCATCGACCTCGAATTCAGCCTTCCACCAGCGAAGCTTTCTCCAGGACCGTAACAAGACAAGAACCTGATCAGCTTTCATTCAGAAAGCTTCAAGCGGTCGAAATAGTCTGTGATGTAGAGGAAACCGCAGTATAAGTCGTGAACGTGGTGTAATATTCATAAGTTGTAGCCAAGATATTGGAGGTAGCTTGTTGAAAATAATACGTGCACTTTTTCACTAAGGGCTACGGTTGGTAACGAGGCTAAATCAAAGTGGCTATGAGCTACTACTCAACTTGGAAAATGGATCGTCTGTAAACAGTGACAATTTTGATGCCGCTGACTCGAGGTTTTAATCCGTAGGTTAAGTAAAAGTTGAAGCCCACTGGCATTGTTAAGAAACAGTGCACTGAAAACGCAGCAGTAAGAGAGTATACGAGGAGATGTAATCTTTGACTTCTAAAATTTTGTATTAAAACATGATAACGACTAAAGGGTCACTTAACAATGATTTCAAATTAACTCGGTTTGCTTTCGAGGTGCGTCAGATATTTAAAGCCGTTCCGCGTGAATAGAAATTGTTCCCGAACGCGTCAGATATAATAAATATCTTACTAACCTCGTCTTCTCGGTCCGTACTGTAGGTTACGGACGCTCATTTTTCCACGCTTGGACCATAAATCGATGGGGAAAAAAACTCGGTATGTAACTTACAGCCCTCGAACTCGGTTAAATAAGAGGTATTTATGTATCTTATTGGCCGCAGTTATCAGCCAAATCTACGTCTGTATTTTAGTTAGAATATAACACGAAGAAGTAGTTGCTAGGCCGGAAACTGCAGAATATAAATTACGACACACATACCTGCAAGAAGGCGCTAGGGGCATAGCCAGGAATTTTCAAAAGGGGGGGTGGGGAGTGTCACACTGTCAAAGTGAGGGTACTCACCAGATTGTTATGTCGACCTCCACACCTGTTGTAGGCTGCTTGCTTAAAATAGGCTTACCAAAGGGGGGGGGGTCACAGGCACCCTAGCAGCCCCTCCCCCCCTCGTAGCTATGCCCTTGGGCGCACAGGTCTCAAGAATGTGGGGGAAAGGCTAGGTTCTAATTTTTTGTTTTCCACGTTTTGGAAGGTAACAAGTTGACCTTAAACATTTTTTCTTGGATGAATAAGTTTAATTTAACTGAAGAAGATTGCAAAATATGCCTGGCCACTGGGGAAAAATTTAGTGGTCCAATGGAAACCGCAAAAGAATGTTTGACCGCTCGAGTCTTTGGGCTGATGCTGGGTTGTCTTTGGAAGTTAAGTGTCCTGAAAAACTGTCGCACGAAATTCGTTTGCGGGCTGATATTTGTAGAATATTAGAATATTAACTAGATTGTAGAACCTGAAATTTTCGAGAGTAACTTTCAGCCTATGGGTCATTGAGCGAGAGAAACACTTTTAAGTGTTCTCAATAAATTGAATTTTTTATTGAGAGTGCAATGGCTAGAAGTCAGTGAATTAATGAAAAAGTAATAAAGTTTTGTTGTTGTTGTCGTCCACATATGTATCGGCAACGTTTTCACGTTTCTCTGATGTTTCGGAGGAAGATTTAGAAACATTACCAGATAATTCAATTTCCAAGAAGACTGAAGGAAGGATATTGGCCATTATGCGACTTAATTAATTGTTCAATGAACGGGCGAGCGCGTGTAGAAAGCGGCAAGCTTCAAACGAAAATTTCTTCTCAATGTATTTTTTGTTAAAGAGTTAAGTTGCTGTTTTAAAATACGGCCTCATTTACTACCGACTCATAGGAATCTAGAGCAATTGTTAACTAGGTATTGTGACCCTTCAGTTAATAAAAATTCGAATAAGACACCATAGTAGCTTTTACAACTTGTTATTAAACTGGATTCGCAGAATAAATTTTTTTTACAGATAAAATTTAGATCTAAAACTTCCCATTTATAAATTCTATAATATTTTTTCCTTACTTTGCAATCTATAGCTTATTGTTATACCATAGTTCATTGTCTTAAATATAAAAATTATTCAAGGAAAGACTAATTTTTATTTAGGCCAGCTAGTTGCTTTTAAAATTAAAAATGAAAACAAAAGATGTTATAATTACATAACGCATTATTGTGAATTGCTCACGGCTATTAGACAAGCTACGTCTCAGTTTAAGCATCTTGAAAAGTTTAGCCTAAATTTTTCAAGATCATCGTTTGTAATCCGTGTTTATCTTCTCCACCCTGAGCCATCCTTGTTTCTTTTATGTGCCAAAATATTGTGTTTTTCTATCTTAGTTAACTATTTTCAAGGTTTCATCGATTTACAGCTAATTATATTTGTCCTTGGCCAAAATTACTGAAAATGCCGTGACGTTAATTTATAACAGGTTGTTCGCTGCTATTTTGGGTATCATTGCCTCCATCGTTTTCATTCTCGTGTGTTTCTTCCTCCCACGGATATCTCTTCATCCTCTCCAGGAAATCTTCTTCCATTAACCTAGCCTGCTCCCAAACTTTAAAATCTGCTTCACGATCGACACCTGCGTTTATCCAGTTATTTGCTGCCCATTTGGTTCCCTCGATGACGTCACATCCGCCATGATAGCTCATGACGTCAAGGGGCCCCAGCCAGCCTGTTGTGTTGCTGACAAGGTGATTGTACCACATCAAGGCAGAACCACGCTTTGGTTTGTAATACAAGTTTGCATCATAGCAGTGATCGCTTAGGTCACACTTGTTGACATCATCTTGAACCAGGGACTAAAGGCAATGAGCAAAAGGTATAAGTAAATAATGTTAAATCAAAATATTTCCAGTTCTGAACTGTAGATCTATTTCTGGCTATTCAACCCAAAACAAAGAAAGTTAGTAGAGAATTAAGTCTGTTTCATAAGCGAATTTAATCATCTATTTGTGAATATCACGATTCTTCCCCATGCCTTGTTAAAGGAATGAAACGAAAGAAACGAAGGATGAACTAAGGAATGAAACGAAGGAGCAAACGGATATTTACAAGTAGATGAATGCATGAATGAATGAGTTAAAGTAGAAAGGAATGAATAAATGAACGAATGAATGCCTGAATGAATGAAAGAATGAATGGAATTAATTAATTAATGATTAATGAATTAAGGAAGGAAGGAAGGAAGGAGGGAAGGTACAACAATATGACGAGCCACTGAGGACTTACAGTTGATAATGAGACTGTTGGTTTCTGTAGAACAAGAACAACTCCAGCATAAGTTTGTTCTGAATATTCTTTGAGGTTTTTCAGTTACAGATTTCAAGGTTTTACACCGCTACACTACCAAACTAATTATAATTTAAAACAATGAATTTATGCTGTTTTACTAACAAAACCTGTTGGGCTTTATACAAACCAATATAACTATAAATGGAACCTTCGTAATCACAATACCTCTCGGCAAAGGGTCGTGTTCGTGTTTGTGTTTAAGTTAACTATTACATTAAGAATTTGCTCTAAAAAATAATAACTTACGTAATTTTGCGGTATTGTTTCATTGTCTGCAATAGGAAAAGCAGTCTCCCCTCCGAGTTTCGGCTCGTTGAGGTAATAAAAGAACGTCAGGTATCTAAAAAGAAAAGCAAAATGTAATTTGGAAGAATAAGACAAAACCAACATATTTGATTGGTGCTTGGTCTAACCTTTGACAATGTCATTTTTGTATTCATTCATTCATTTATTTATTTATTTATTTATTTATTTATTTAATTTATTAAGTTCGCATCGTTTCGTACCCTTTCAATATCTATAGCTGATATTTTGGTAGCTCTGGATGAAACAAAGATGCTTGTATTTACATTTACACGTAGTGTTCAATCATAGTGTCCAATCAATCATACCATCAACTGGTATCCCGGGGTTACTTCCTAGGGGGAGGCTCCGCCGGAAAGGAGTACCGTTTTCAGGCTTCAGGTGCATATATCTAAAAGGGTGGGGATTTCATAAGTTGAGGTATATGAAAGGCAGGGAAATCTGTCATTTAGTTATTTTAAAGGGCCTTTAATAAAAATATTTCGAGAAGATCATTTCATTTATTAGCTACTATTTATCCACAATACAGGCCAGTTATGAAGTATTTGAAAAGGGTCCCTTTTTTCAATTAAAGGTGTACGAAAGGGATACATTTTCTGTCAAAATGGCATACAAGAGGGTAAGAGGTTGGATCTACAGTACCTACCCCGCCCCCCCCTCCGCGGGTACTACCAGTTGCTCCGCCGACTGTCAACGAAAAATTAAAGATTCTTATAATTAAGCCTAGACCTTATATTTCGTTAGTAGGTCACCTGCATGGGACACATTTTATATCCTCTATATCCTCATCATCTACGTCTTCAGCGAGATTTTGAGCTTGATGACAACAAGGTATATTCTTCGCCTCTTCGTCTTCGGAATCATAATGGCAATGGTAATGCTGCTTCTCGCGATACCTGATAACCTAAAATTTGAATTATCAACAATTAGACAGCGAACTCGCGGTTTCTACCCGACGATAGTTAGCGAGAAAGCCATAACGGTTGATCAGAGCTGTCGTCTGACTGTTTTTCGCATAACCCCCTCGATCGATCTATCAAACGAAAACAATAATTTTAAACCCAGAAACTTCACAAAAATCGAGCGAAGTTAAACCCATGTCAAAGAAAAGTCTGTATACGAGCCAAGTGGCCTATTAGGCCGGAGCTTGTCCCGGTTTCAGTAGCATGAGGCTGGTAGGAGTATTTCTACTGCCCCCCTGGATTACCCCGGGTTACCCCGCAATGCCGTCTATCGAACGTCAGATGGCGCTTGTTTAGCCAATTAGATTTCGTGTTTACCTGATAGTCGGCCAGTGGATTATGCTAAGAGCCATCACCTGATGCTCATGCGTTAAAATTCCACGGGCTAACATTATTTTTGACTGAATATAGAAAGCGTCGACTGCCCATTTCGTGGAAAATGAATGCTGTTATATAGTAATATTTTAATTAATCAACCGTCTTGTTATGTTTTCAATATCTGTTGCATGCTAAGAGTGCAAGTACAGCTTGAATTCTTGAGGCGAGGGGGGGGGGGGGGG